AGTTTTACGTGATTGGATAGTCATTAGCCACGACTTCCGAACACATTATTGTGACATTTTAACTACCCTCAACATATTATGATATCACCTTTGACCACCCCACAACCAACCACCACCGCCATTTTTTTTTATTTTTGTATGTGTATGCACACACTAAACAAATCTTTTGTTTTTTCTTTTTAGAAAATAGAAGATTGACAACATTCTCAGTTAAATAATGAAAATATCATTAGAATGTTGAATTTAAATTAGGGACGAAATTGCAATTGGACAGTACAATCAATCACAATGGGGCCAACCATGAAGCCATCTTTCAACAAGCATCTCCAATTTTTAATAATATTATAATAATATATATTAAAATGCAATGGATCTAGAGATACTTTTGAGGTGTGGTTCTTTCATTTGACTTTGCCACATTTCAGTGACAATGGCTTCTCTGGATCGAGACTAGTGTTTCGCATGTTCCGTGCAATTTTTATTTTTATTTTTTAAATATTTTTATTCTCATGTTTAGATAATTAATATTTTTAGTAGATTTAAATTATTTTTATTTTATAAGTTATAATCAAAATTATATTAATCTTCTTAATTAAATCTCTTTGGTACGGTTGATTAAAATGAATAAAATGATAAAAAGTGACACTGATTAAAAATAAAATGAAAAAGAAATTTATTTTTTATGTAGTTTTTTAAATTAAAATCAAATTAACATGTTACATTGTTAACATAAGTTGTTGTGAGGGGCGATTTTGTGATACTCGTTCACTTCAAATAAGCTCTTGAAAGATCATTGTTTTACTACCTGAAATAGAAAAACACTTCGGTCGAGAGTATCGAAATTAGCACTGATGAGCAAGTAGTCTTTTTTGAAGAGAGGAAAAAGTTCTCGAATTTCTTGAAGTGCAAATTATTAGAACATGCCTTCTCATTTATCATTACCTTCTTTTTATAAAGTCATTCTTCATAGATATTTTCTTCTGTAGCCTAACCCTTGATCATTGTCATGTCAGAACCTATTTCCCTAGTACACTTTTAGAAAAGGACAACTCGGGCCCACTTAAAGTGGATTGTCATGCTAACTTACCCGATATACTTGGCCCAGACATATGATCGAGGCACCTTTCACTCAGCACATTCAACCCATTTAAATTTACTCAGCAATAACTTGTTTGAGTCTAGTGGGTTTTGGCTAAATCTGGTCCATCAAGGATGGGCTTGGATGTGTCATATTTGTTGATTAGGAATTCCATTTATTCGGCTCCCACAGTTGTATAAGAATTTTATTTTATATTTTTTAAAGTTTTCATTTGTTAAACAAATGCTAAAAAAATAAAAATAGAAAATTCTTTTTTTTCTTGTGCTTTGCCCAACTTTCAACTTCGGCGAAGTCAGTCTAACGCTGTGGATTTTGACAAGCAGTTATTTTTAGAAACTTCTCATATGTACATACCTGTGGTAGTTGGTGGCTAGTGAGAAAATAATTAAAAAGGAGTATATATCTATTGTTTAAAATATTTTTTAAAAATAAAGAATTAATAAAGTGATTTTTTTTTTTATAAAAAATAAAATAAAATTATGAAGTCATTCTATTATGTATTTGGTTCCCTAAATCCAGTCTTATACCAAAGGGACTGGCAGGCTGGCCTAATGTCCTTGTTCATTACAAATGCCAACATTGTGGTTAATATTTCCAAATAATAATAATAATAAATTGTGAGTAATTTAAACTTATTGTATTGAGTATTGGAAAATTCTACAATATACATCTTTTACCATATATACTCTTAATTATGTCATTTTCTTATTTAGTTATGACTAATATTCTTTTTTAATTATGATATTATTTTGAATCTTTGTTATGTCTCATGTAGCGTTTGGTTATAACTTTTTTTTTTTTTTTAGTTATGATTGAAAAAATATGAAATTATTCATTTTCTTTTTTTATTATAAGTTACATATGATATACACCCTTTAAAAGAGAATGTGCCATATTCTTTCCTTGAGTATTATGTTTAATGTGATGTATAATAGGATATTAATCACATCATTTAATAAATTCTACCAATATACAATAATATAAAGGTTATTAATTGAGTCGAAGGTATGAGGCCCGCGTGACTTATTAAACTTTTACACGGTTTAAACCCAAAGGCCATGTTTGTTTGGATGGATATGAGCTTGGGATTGGACTAATAGTCCAATAAAATTATTAATCTGATATTTGGTTAAACAATTGAAGTACGGATTAATTATTTTAAACTTGACTATTAGTTAAGATAGGATACATAATCCAACGGATTTGTAGTCTTAGGACTATTAGTCATGGGAATGCTAATCCAGTCCGTCCAAACAAACATGGCCAAAGTGGATTAACTTGGCCTAGATAAGGATTGAGTTAGGCTTAGACTTAGGTTTGAAACTCAACTCCATCCGTTGATCCATGAGAACCAAAAAGAAAATATGAAAAAATTCAAAATTTCAAAAATATAAGCCTAAAACTTACCCACCGACTAGCCCATGAGAGATGGAGGCTTGACCTGCGAGCTTGTCTAGGCTAATTCAATTATGTAAGACTTAAGCTTAAGATTTTGAATCATAACTCAATTGGTAAGAAGAAAAAACTTGTTTGGTGAATTTTTTTTTTAACAATAGAGATTTTCATTAAAGTAAGTCAAACAATACTTACAAAAAAACCTATCTAACAAAATAAAATTTACACCAAACAAAATAAAAATCATCAAAAGAAGTACTAAGAAGAAAACTATAAAATATCAAGATGTAAAACCCGTACTACAAAAGAGACGTTGATCATAAGAATTCTGCGATAGAGCAAGTTTGGAATAAAAACATAGGTTACAATCGCAGAGAGCATAAGTTACAATCACAGCACAGATGGACTCCTAATCATACAACCAAATATCAAACAAACAAGACAAATAGTAAAAAAGAACCAGACCTTAGTCCCCACAAGCAATGGAAAAGTGGCGACGGATCCGGTGGGGTTGTGTTTGCGGAGGCAGCATATCTAGTGCATGGTGACAAATCTTGTGGTGGCACCAATGTGAGGTAGAGGAGAAGAGAGATGGTGGATTCGATGAAAGCCACTGCTAGGGTAAGGCGTAGGAAGAAAGGAGAGGATAAATAAAGAGAGATTCCACCAAGAGGGACTACACTATACCAGCATGATTTTTTAAAAAAAATTTAAGAATTTTTTTATTTTTTTAAATACACCCGACTTAAAAATAATATTTATGAAAAAGAAAATCCATCAGATACAAAAAAATATAAAAATTTAATACATTTTCGTATTCTTGTATATTTATTAAAAATTTAAATATTTTTTTATAAATATTTTACTTTTTAAGTACATTTAAATTATGTGTTTTTAAAAAATAAAAAATTTATTTAAAATATTTAAAATTAAAAAATATAAAAAATAAAAAAATTTATCAAAATCAAATAAAGTGATTAATATTTATAGAGCAAGGAACAAGTCAAAAACTTGGTTGGCCGATTGCTAGTAATTCAAAATCGAACAAATGAAATGAATTTAAAATTTTAAATTTTAGTCAGACGATCCCTGACGTATTTGCCTACTTGGAGGGCACAAACAAAAATGCTTTAGAACACAGCTGTCATGGAATTAGTTACCTCGGGAAGGTTTTATCCATATCATGAGCAAATTTCATATAACTTGGACTTTAATTTATTTTTTTGACAGATTATATTCTAGACTGTTTAATATGATCTTTTTTTTGTGTCAATTTAATTTAATATAATGGGTAAATTATGCTATTAATTCTTATACTTTATTTCTTATGTTTTTTTGATTTCTATAATTTCATTTAGATTAATTCTGACATTAAAATTTTAATTTATTTCAAATTGATCCAATTGATTCTAACGGTCAATATTTTTTTTATGGTAAATACACATATGAGCGACATATTTCATACTTTTAGGAATAAAATTATAAATTTAATTAATTCGGTGACTTATTAATCTCAACCAATTCTATAAAAAAAAATTATCAAAAATCCCAATAATATTATCAATTGAACTACACTGACACAAAATTTATAATCAATGGTAAAAAATTGAATCAATTGAAATTGTAGGACTTATATAACACATGCGACAAAATGTTGAAATTACCGATATAGTTTGTCTTAATCCAATTAATAACATCTGTCATTAAATTGGGAAAAATCAAGAACAAAATGATTGATTCAATAAACAATTGACTTTTTAAATTAGATTTCAATCCCTTGATTGTTTTTAAAATATTAAATGAATTAAATTGACTCAAAATTAAAATTAAAACTGTAAAGACTTAAATAACACATGTGACAAAATGTAGAGATTAGCCAAGTAGTTTGTCATCCAATTAATAGCATCAGCCATTAAATTGGGCAAAATCAAGAATAAAATGATTGATTCAATAAACAATTGACTTTTTAAATTAGATTTTAAAAATGTTAGAAATCAAAAAGTTTTATCAAAATTTTTGTTAAATGTCTCACACAGGTGTAGGTCTCACATCCATATGAGACATTTGATTGAATTTTTGATAAAATTTTTGAAATCTCTAACATTACTCGTTAGATTTTAATTCTTTAATTGTTTTGAGCAAATTAAATGAATTATTTTATCCATTAATTTTAGTTTAACTTTTGAAATAGCATTATCAATTAACATAAATTGACTCAATATAAAAATTTAAAGATAAAACTTATGCAATTAATAATACAAAAAATCAATTACAAGAATTACAGTATATATATATATATATATATATATTTGGATATGTGATGGGACTTGGAGTTTGTGTGACTGCACTGACCGAAAGTAGTTTGGATAACACGTTTAGAATTAGCTATCCAGGGAAGGGTCACATGGTATAGCGTGTCCAAACAAGGAAAATCTGCCCTGGATTCTGTGGGCAAATAACTAGTATTTAAAGGATGAGTTGGAAAGGCCATTTCATCATCTACCTTGTACTTGCCACACGCCTCTTATTTACTTCTAATTCTTCTCTTTTTATCTTATTCAGTTTCTTTCTCTCTTTCCAAGGTATGCATGATAATATAGTTCTGCTAATTACAGAATCAGTCACAAAATATGTAATATATTTTATATATATTTTTTTTTTTGATAATTCAGGGTATTCGAGCCAACTTACGCTGACATTTAATATATTTTATAATTAATTTTTATATTTTTACATTTATTCATTTAATAATCTAAATTATTCATTTGATAATCTATATTTCTCTCATTGGTTTCTAATAATAACAAAAATGTTTAAGCTCCCCACCTCCCCACACGTTTATCAAAAAGTTTACTCCTAAATTTCACAGGTAATTATTATATAGTTTTAGAATATTATGGGAGCATTACTCAAGTGATACTCTAAACTAATTGATCTATGCTATAGTTACAAACTAAATTAACAATTATTTTATCAACTACACTCACATGCGTTTGGCACCTACACGCATATGGGGTCTACGAAATTATTTAGAATGATTTAAATAAGTATATTTTTTAAATTTTTACGATAAGATATATAAAAAAATAAAGAGATGACGTGACTCAAATAAGTGTATTTTTGTGAACAAGTACATTTATTTAGGGAAAGCCAAACAAGTTCTACATACATGTCACTAATTGATGAAATAGTTAATTATTTAGTTTGTATCTATATCATTTTTTCAACTAATTATGTAGCATAAAATTTTATGGCTGCGACATGCTGACTGACTTTTCTTAAGTAGTTAGGAGACAAAAAATGATTTAGTTAATATGTGTTGCAATTTCTCATTAATCAAGAGTATTCCATAAATAATATCACAGTACAATCAGATCAGAGTATCTAACAATTTATACCATCTCTCACCCTGCTCCCCAAATTTGATAATCAACATTGATTATGAGGTGAATTTATACTTTCTATCCCAAAAAACAAATTACAGACACTCCCATTTTTGTGAGGTTTTATATTACGTGGAAGCTACATATATGTGAGTGTGTGAGTATCGTTTATTTTTGTTTTAATAACACTTTGTAGTTTTGCTTCAAAACCTATACTGACTTTCTGCATGAATAGGGGACTTGAGAATGATGAAGATTAAAATTTTCAGAGCATTCCATTTTCTGCTCACCATAATAAGTTGCAGTGTGTCGGCCGCGGCACAATCACCAGCAGCTCCACCGCCGGTGACAGCAGCAACACTTCAGCAAGTAGCAGCTTCTCTGCAAATGTATGTGGAAAAACTCCCTGAGATGCCTAAGCTCTATGGCTACACCACAAACCCCACTGGTTCACCCATTCCTGCCAACCTCACCATTGGCATGTACGAAACTCAATGGGTATGTACTTTCATTTTTAGTTCGATTTTTAAAAATGTTATTTTACTAAAAAAATTAATATAAATGGTATGACATTGACATCATTAAAATGATAACATTTAAATGTGTTATATCATTCTATATAGATTTTTTTGTATAAAATTTCTATATGCATATCAAATCAACCAAATACAAGGCCTACGGTCCAACACTGAACATGGAGTCCACCTAGTGACAGAGCCAAAAAAAATTGGTCCAGAAGGAGCATTTATTAATTACAACCTTAATTTTTTTTTTGTATTCAATAATAAGATAGAAATATTTTTTTGAGCTGATATTAATCATAATTCTTTCTTATTATTGAATACAAAAGAAAAAAAAAATTAAGTGGTGACACTACAAGAAAATGCACTCTTGGCGACTAAAGTTTTGGTCGCCAAAAACAAGGTTTTTAATCGCCAAAGCCTTTTCCCGACTAAATATTTTGGTCACTAGATTTGTCGCGGGAAAACGGTTGGGGAAGGTTTTGGCGACTGAAAAAAATTTACTCAGCGAAAGTCCTATAAATGGCTACTAATGTCTTAGTAGGGAAAAGTACGAGGTATTGGCGACTAAATATTTTTTAGTAGCCAAGAGTCATAAATTGACGACTAAATATTTAGTCGCCAAAAGTTTTCAAATAAAATTAAATTTCATTTTCAGCGACTAAAACTTTTAGTCGCCCAAAGTATCATTTATTATTAGCTACTAAATATTTAGTCGCCAAAAAAAATTAATTTTTATATTTTTTTTAGCTACTAAACTATTTAGTCGCCTAAAGTCTCATATATTTTTTACTACTAAATTTTTAGTTGCCAAAAAATCTTTGATTTGTTTTTGGCTATTAAATTTTTAGTAGCCAACAAGTTTTATTTTGTTTTTTTGGCTATTAAACATTTAGTCACCAAAAACTCTATTTAGTGTTATTTTTATTATTATTATTATTATTAATTTCCGCACAACCTGTATTTATTTCGTGAAACCTGCACCCTGTATATAAACAAAACAATACATATGTCTATTTCTATTTCACTTTCAACCTTCCAAAAATTTGGTCTTAGAACATCAAATTCTATACAAACCAAATATAATCCAACCCAAAATAATAATTTCATACAAACAGATAATCATACAAAAATGATGCCCTCTGTATACAAAAAAGAAATATCCATTAGTAATCTATATCACTAGAAAATAACTTCATCTCTGTTGGATCAACAACTATTGCAGTAATTGGTAGTGGAAAAGCTCGAGTTTGTAAAAGTCTTCCAGTAACAAGGTTCCATACCTACAATACGAAAATAAGTCATTTCGAGAAACAAAAATACTCATGCCAGGAAGATATTATTATGAAACATTTAACATAATTAACTAACCTTGCATGTGCCATCGAGCGAGCTTGATAAAAAAATTGAACTTGAGCTTGATAAAACATTTAACCAAAGAAGTTGTATGAGAAATCAGCAACTTTTAACTGCGATGAACAACACAAACCAGTAGTGTTCCGACTTGAGGCAAACCTATAACAGAAATAAACCGTGTCAATTTTAAGAAAATCAATACATTCAAATCATCTAAATAATGCTATTTTTCATTGTTATACAACATTCATAACATTATCAACTTTTAATATTCTTTTCACTATCTTACATTATTTGACTCATTAATGCTTGATTAGCACTGACAGAACATTACTATAATTAGAATCAGGATACCTTTATTCAAGTATAATGGGAAATCAATACTAATAAAAAAGCAGGTAATCAAGAAAAATCTAAGGAAACATGACATTCAAAACAGGAATTTCTCCCATACTCCCTATCATATTTGCTTTTTCCATTCTGTTTTCTTGGTAGCCAACCAGCGGGAAATAATTTCCTTTACTTTCTTTTCCTTACCTTTACTAAATCCATGAATTAGCCAGCATTTTAGTATTTAGCTAAGCATAAAGCATACAACTAGTAGTGTTATATTATGGATCTGTAGATTGTATTGATCAGTTCATCAATATTCTAGGTAACAGACAAGCTCTATATAGGTAAACGAAGTGTGCGATTATATACATCTTTATTTTCTACTTAAAAACACATTCAAGTCGAAATACACGCTACAAGAAACTATTTCAGTGAAAGCACACAAAACTTTAAAAAGTCCAATGCAAGAATTTTCTACTTACATCCCATGACTGGTGGATGTAAAATCTGAATTGTTACTTCCAGGAACAAATCCTTGAAGCTTATTCCTATCTAGTTGAAGTTCCTCGAGGTACTTCAAATTGCCAAGCTCAGGAGGGAGTGTCCCCATCAATCCATTGGATTGCAGATTTCTACAGAAAAACAAGTAAAAAATGAGAAAGAAAGCAAAGCGGAATGAGACATAAAGTCGATTGAAGAAACAAAAATGTCAAATTCCATTTACATTTTCATGAGGATGGTCAAATTCCCAATTTCAGAAGGAATTGGACCCGATAGCCCATTCATTCCCAAATCCAAGACCCTCAGGTATTTCAACATGCAAATTTCTTTGGGTATTACACCAATCAAATTGTTTCCGTGCAAAACTCTGTAAATCATCAGGATATCAAATTAAGCTTCAATCATTGTGTTCTATTTAACAAATAATTAAATAAAACAAGAAAACAGAATCGTTATATAGTTTGATTAGAAGGAAAGCATACAGTTCTCTCAAGGAAGAGAGTAAGCCCAATTCTGGAGCAAGAAAACCTTTCAATGATGACCCAGAAATGTTTCTGCAAAACAGAGTTTCCACCACAAATGGACAACAACAATTAGCCTTTAATTTTATGCTATTAATTCTCAATTACAATAACCTTAAAGAAATGTACTTGTTACTGCTAGGGGTACACAAGATATCCCAAAAAAAACCGAGAATCGAACTAATCCGACCTCTACAAGTTGGGTTGGTTTGATTTTTTTTCAATACATTGGTTCGATTCTAGGTCTAAAAATAACGAACCCAGTCACAACATAGTTATAAACATGAGTGTATGTGATTAAGACCATATATCATACATCTTCAAGACATGATCTTGAGCCATAGAACAGGAAATGCCAGACACTACTGGTTTGGGGGCTGTTTTCAATTTTCGCCTCCGAAACGCCCTTTTTCAACTAAACTTTGGGCGTATTCGGCTCTAAATCCCAACATATGGGTCCAAATAACATTCCGTCAGTTGTAACAAGTCATATTTGGCATGGGGAAGCTGTTCGTGTCGGCCACACGGCAGATCAAGGGCTGTTTTGAATTTTCACCCCCAAAACGACATTTTTCGACTATGTTTTGGGCGTATTTGTCTCTAAATCCCAACCTACAGGTCCGAATAACATTCTGTCATTTGTCACAAGTCCTATTTGGCATGGGGAAGGAGTTCGTGTCGGCCACACAGCGGTTCGGGGGCTGTTTTCAATTTTCGCCCCCGAAACGTCCTTTTCCAACTAAGCTTTGGGCATATTTGGCTTTAAATCCCAACATATGGGTCCAAATAACATTCCGTCAGTTGTAACAAGTCATATTTGATATGGGGAAGCTGTTCGTGTCGGCATCAAATGTAGAAAAAGAGTAAAACTCTAAAATGATTTTATCAAAATCCTACAGCATCAAAAATAAAATAAAACCCTAGATCCGAGATGGTGAAATAGGGAAATAGAGGAAGAGAGAGAGAAAGAGAGAGAGAGAGAAACATGAATGTGGCTGGGAGGGGGGCTGCGATGGTGAGCGACGGTCGCGAGAGCCGCGATGGTAAGCGGCGATAGCGAGAGCCGCGATGGTCGGTGGTGGAAGTTCAATGGTAACTGTTAGCAGGGATGGTGAGTCGGGATGGTGAGGGTGAGGTTTGCTAGTGTTTGACACAGAAGTGTATATCGTGTGTCTGTGTGTGTAAAAGACAAAACAGAGTATAAATAGATCGGGCGCCAAAAATAATTTGTTTCCCTCTAAAACAAATATCACAACCTTTAGCGACTAAATATATTTTTGGTCGCCAAATAACAATAAAAAAAATTTTTGGCGACAAAAATTTTGGTCGCCAAAGGTAAAAAATTAATTTTTCATTTTTCTTTCGGCGACAAAATGATTTTAGTAGCCAAAACTTAATATACGGCGACTAAATTTTTTTTTGGTCGCCAATTCTAGCATTTTTAGCGACTGAAATTTTTTTTAGTCGCCAAAAACCAATATACCCCGACTAAAAAAAATTAGTAGCTAAATATTTTACTTTTGGCGACTAAAAAAATTAGTTGGTCGCCAATTTCATAACTTTTGGCGACTAAATTTTTTTTAGTCGCCAATTTTGGTCGCCGAATGTGTATTTTGTTGTAGTGAACATATCTTAATCACAACCAAACTAATTATTTAGACATAAAGATAATTTTTTATTAAACAACCCCATTCCCAATCATCTTTATTAAATTCTTTTTAAAGTCTCATTTGTTTTGACGTAAAATATTTATAAAAAAAAAAAATCTTATAAATTGATTTTACATAGAAAAAATATTTTTGTTTTTGTTTTTCAATGTTTAGTTGATACTTAAGCCAAAAATATTTTAATTCCTAAAAGAGAAATTTTGATTTAATAAAATATCATTTATGATTTTTTAGTAAGTTAAGATACTTATTAAAAAAATAAAATATGTTAAAAATGTAGTGAGTTAGAGTTAATTTTAAAAAAATTGACTTACGGAAATTTTAAACATGAGTTATTTTTAAAAAAATAATACAAAAATATATGGAAAATGAGTAAAAGTCAAAACAAATGAAACCTAAACATATAGTTTTTTTTCAAAAAAAAAAAGAAAAAAAAGTGGTTGGGCTAGTAAGGGATTGTACTTGGGAGAGAAAAAAAAAAGAGCGATTATATACATCTTTATTTTCTACTTAAAAACACATTCAAGTCGAAATACACGCTACAAGAAACTATTTCAGTGAAAGCACACAAAAACTTTAAAAAGTCCAATGCAAGAATTTTCTACTTACATCCCATGACTGGTGGATGTAAAATCTGAATTGTTACTTCCAGGAACAAATCCTTGAAGCTTATTCCTATCTAGTTGAAGTTCCTCGAGGTACTTCAAATTGCCAAGCTCAGGAGGGAGTGTCCCCATCAATCCATTGGATTGCAGATTTCTACAGAAAAACAAGTAAAAAATGAGAAAGAAAGCAAAGCGGAATGAGACATAAAGTCGATTGAAGAAACAAAAATGTCAAATTCCATTTACATTTTCATGAGGATGGTCAAATTCCCAATTTCAGAAGGAATTGGACCCGATAGCCCATTCATTCCCAAATCCAAGACCCTCAGGTATTTCAACATGCAAATTTCTTTGGGTATTACACCAATCAAATTGTTTCCGTGCAAAACTCTGTAAATCATCAGGATATCAAATTAAGCTTCAATCATTGTGTTCTATTTAACAAATAATTAAATAAAACAAGAAAACAGAATCGTTATATAGTTTGATTAGAAGGAAAGCATACAGTTCTCTCAAGGAAGAGAGTAAGCCCAATTCTGGAGCAAGAAAACCTTTCAATGATGACCCAGAAATGTTTCTGCAAAACAGAGTTTCCACCACAAATGGACAACAACAATTAGCCTTTAATTTTATGCTATTAATTCTCAATTGCAATAACCTTAAAGAAATGTACTTGTTACTGCTACACAAGATATCCAAAAAAAAACCGAGAATCGAACTAATCCGACCTCTACAAGTTGGGTTGGTTTGATTTTTTTTCAATACATTGGTTCGATTCTAGGTCTAAAAATAACGAACCCAGTCACAACATAGATATAAACATGAGTGTATGTGATTAAGACCATATATCATACATCTTCAAGACATGATCTTGAGCCATAGAACAGGAAATGCCAGACACTACGGGCTGTTTTCAATTTTCGCCCCCGAAACGTCCTTTTCCAACTAAGCTTTGGGCATATCTGGCTTTAAATCCCAACATATGGGTCCAAATAACATTCCGTCAGTTGTAACAAGTCATATTTGGCATGGGGAAGTTGTTCGTGTCGGCCACACGGCGGATCAAGGGCTGTTTTGAATTTTCACCCCCAAAACGTCATTTTTCGACTATGTTTTGGGCGTATTCGTCTCTAAATCCCAACCTACGGGTCCGAATAACATTCTGTCATTTGTCACAAGTCCTATTTGGCATGGGAAAGGAGTTTGTGTCGGCCACACAGCGGCTCGGGGGCTGTTTTCAATTTTCGCCCCCGAAACGTCCTTTTCCAACTAAGCTTTGGGCATATCTGGCTTTAAATCCCAACATATGGGTCCAAATAACATTCCGTCAGTTGTAACAAGTCATATTTGACATGGGGAAGTTGTTCGTGTCGGCATCAAATGTAGAAAAAGAGTAAAACTCTAAAATGATTTTATCAAAATCCTACAGCATCAAAAATAAAATAAAACCCTAGATCCGAGATGGTGAAATAGGGAAATAGAGGAAGAGAGAGAGAAAGAGAGAGAGAGAGAGAGAGAGAGAGAGAGAGAGAAACCTGAATGTGGCTGGGAGGGGGGCCGCGATGGTGAGCGACGGTCGCGAGAGCCGCGATGGTAAGCGGCGGTAGCGAGAGCCGTGATGGTCGGTGGTGGAAGTTCGATGGTAACTGTTAGCAGGGATGGTGAGTCAGGATGGTGAGGGTGAGGTTTGCTAGTGTTTGACACAGAAGTGTATATCGTGTATCTGTGTGTGTAAGAGACAAAACAGAGTATAAATAGATCGGGCGCCAAAAATAATTTGTTTCCCTCTAAAACAAATATCACAACCTTTAGCGACTAAATATATTTTTGGTTGCCAAATAACAATAAAATTCTTTTTTGGCGACTAAAAATTTTTTTGTCGCTGAAAATAAACTTTTGGCGACTAAAATTTTGGTCACCAAAGGTAAAAAAATAATTTTTTATTTTTCATTTGGCGACTAAATGGTTTAGTAGCCAAAACTCAACATACAGCGACTTAGACTCTTTTTTATCGCTGAAATTTTTTTTTAATTTTGGTCGCTAAAGGTAAAAAATTAATTTTTTATTTTTCTTTCAGCGACAAAATGATTTTAGTAGCTAAAACTTAATATACAACGACTAAAATTTTTTTTGGTCACCAATTCTAACATTTTTAGCGACTAAAATTTTTTTAGTCGCCAAAAACCAATATACCCCAACTAAAAATATTAGTAGCTAAAAAAATACACTTTTGGCGACTAAAAAAATTAGTTAGTCGCCAATTTCATAGCTTTTGGCAACTAAATTTTATTTAGTCGCCAATTTTAGTCGCTAAATGTGCATTTGTTTGTAGTGTGATCCCGGTTACAATGTGCACCCATTTAAAGTTGCACATCATGTACACTTTAATGTTATACTTTTTGTAAGTGTTGTTATATATATATATTTTGTTAGCGAAATTATGATTTTTTGTGTCTTTGAAAAAAAATTGTGAAAAATTTGAATGCTATAGTTTTATGAGTGGGGCTCTACATTTCGTGAACGAAATTAGAAAATTTGTGAAAACTCGAATGCTATACCTTTTGTGAGTGGTCTTATATATTTTATGATCGAAATTACGATTTTTTGTGTCTTCAAAGAAAAATTGTGAAAATTTAAAAGTTATTCTTTTTGTGAGTGGTGTTTTATATTTCCTAAAGTTAAAATTTTTAAGGACATTTACTAGTCAATTTTATTAACTAAACTTATTTATTTACAGGTCTTGACTGATAAATTTATTACTGTAAATTTATTTATAAAAATAAAAAACGATGAATTTATAAACATAACTTAATGAGTAATAAATCTTAACAGTAAAACTATCTATTGTCATAAGAAAATAGTAAGTCTATATATACAAACACAAGTCTCTTACAAGAGTTAAGATCCACATAAACCCACCCCTTATATGAAAATTGTGTTTCATTTTTGTGTTTCATTTTTATATTCCCATCATTATTGAATAAGAAAGTGATGGTGAGAGTTGGGGGTTGGGGCACATCTTGTGTTGAAGAAAGTGACAGCTACCAAGCTCGTCTAGAAGGTGAAAAGAAACAAATTCAGAAGTCAAGGAGGGCATTGCTCAATCCGCCCCTTAGTAATAAATTATTTTGATATTATATATTTTTATTTTAGCTAACTCAAAACAGGTCTTTAATAATTTATTTTGATTTTATTTTTCAAAAAAAGAATAAAATTAATTTTTACATAAAAAAATAATAATATAATATACATTAATTCCTCATAGTTTAAAACTACATTACAAGCATTGGTTTGAAAAGTTGGGTTCACATGAGTAGTGGTTAAAATAGTTATAACACGATAAAACAAACTTTTTAATCTTAAGTTAAATAATATCATATATAAATCATAATTATTATTATTTTTTTTTAAAAATAAAAAAAGTCAAAAAATTTATCCTAAATGAGACTTTTAATCCTAAATTAAAATAGCTAAAAAACTAAAAGATCAACTCAAATCGCAAAAAAAACTAAAAAATGAAAAACTCTATTCACACAAAAACTACATACAAAAAATATTTCAAAAATAATGTAGAATGCAATATTTGTAAATAATATTTACAATCATGATGCATCTCTTTAAAAATGAAACACTAAGCCTCCGTTTGGGAAGTGAGTTGGCTTTTTGGCTTTTTGACTTTTTTGGCTATTTTAGCCTGGGCTTAAAAGCTTGGTTTGGGAAGGACTTTTTGACTTTTTGACTTTTTTGAGTAAAAAAAAAACAATCACATCACATCACATCACGAGAAGACGAGTTCATTAGAACTACGCCTAAGCTCAAGGACCTCCCAAACATTTTTATATAATATTTATCTTTTATGACTTCAACCAAACTTTTAACATTCTTCCAATCTTGTACAGAAATTCCACCGCAATTTACCTGCAACAACAGTGTTCGCCTACGGAACATCCGCCTTAACCGCCACCGTGCCGGGACCAACAATCGAGGCACTCCACGGCGTAACCACCTACGTCACATGGCAAAACCACCTCCCTCAATCCCACATCCTCCCTTTCGACACCACCATCGCCACCGCCATCCCATCCCACGGCGGCGTCCCCACCGTCGTCCACCTCCACGGCGGCATCCACCCACCCCAAAGCGACGGCAACCCGTTCGCCTGGTTCACCGCCGGTTTTCGCGACACGGGCTCAGCATGGACCGAATCAACATACTTATACCCTAATGTCCAACATGCAGGGAATCTATGGTACCATGATCACGCTCTCGGCCTCACACGTGTCAATCTCCTAGCGGGCCTGATTGGTTCTTATGTGATCAGAGACCCCACGGAAGATTCAACGTTGGATCTTCCGAGGGGAGAATTCGATCGCCACTTGATGGTGTTTGATCGAAGTTTTTACAAAGATGGATCATTGTACATGAATTACACAGGAGATAATCCAACAATTCATCCACAATGGCAACCCGAGTATTTCGGAGATGCCATTATTGTTAACGGAAAGGCGTGGCCGTACCTTCGGGTACAGCGAAGAAAGTACCGGTTTCGAATCATTAATTCTTCGAATGCAAGGTACTTTCGGTTTTCGCTAACGAATGGTCTCTCATTCGTTCAAGTAGGATCAGATGCTTCGTTTTTACGGTCCCCGGTCACCACGCGGAGCATTTTGCTAGCGCCCTCGGAGATTGCTGATGTTGTTATTGATTTTTCGACGACGAGTGCTAATCAATCTGAGCTCACTAATGATGCTCCGTTTCCCTACCCTACTGGTAGCGCTGTCGATCAGTTGAATAGTAAAGTCATGAAGTTTATCATCATTCCAAGTGCTTCAATTTTACCCGATAAATCGACAGTTCCATCAATTCTAAAGAACTATCCAACCCCCACTACTCGTCCACCTCCACGGCGGCATCCACCCACCCCAAAGCGACGGCAACCCGTTCGCCTGGTTCACCGCCGGTTTTCGCGACACGGGCTCAGCATGGACCGAATCAACATACTTATACCCTAATGTCCAACATGCAGGGAATCTATGGTACCATGATCACGCTCTCGGCCTCACACGTGTCAATCTCCTAGCGGGCCTGATTGGTTCTTATGTGATCAGAGACCCCACGGAAGATTCAACGTTCAATCTTCCGAGGGGAGAATTCGATCGCCATTTGATGGTGTTTGATCGAAGTTTTTACACAGATGGATCGCTGTACATGAATTACACAGGAGATAATCCAACAATTCATCCACAATGGCAACCCGAGTATTTCGGAGATGCCATTATTGTTAACGGAAAGGCGTGGCCGTACCTTAGGGTACAGCGAAGAAAGTATCGATTTCGAATCATTAATGCTTCGAATGCAAGGTACTTTCGGTTTTCGCTAACGAATGGTCTCTCATTCGTTCAAGTAGGATCAGATGCTTCGTTTTTACGGTGCCCGGTCACCACGCGGAGCATTTTGCTAGCGCCCTCGGAGATTGCTGATGTTGTTATTGATTTTTCGACCACGAGGGCTAATCAATCTGAGCTCACTAATGATGCTCCGTTTCCCTACCCTACTGGTAGCGCTGTCGATCAGTTGAATAGTAAAGTGATGAAGTTTATCATCATTCCAAGTGCTTCAATTTTACCCGATAAATCGACAGTTCCATCAATTCTAAAGAACTATCCAACCCCCACTACTGCCGGAGCAAGCACGACACGGTACATCATGCTCTACGAATACGAGAGCGCAACTGGGAACCCGACACATCTCTACATTAACGGAAAGAGTTTCTTTGCCCCGGTAACAGAGACGCCGAAATCGGGAACTACAGAGGTGTGGGAAGTGATCAATCTGACTCAAGACAACTGTTGGTCGCTCTTCACTGTATTTAAAAAGATTTAATTCTATTGTGTACACAACAACAAATAGAATTTAAAGAAATAAAGAAAAGGAGAGAAATTGTTTGATTACAAAAATCAAACTGTATGAAGACGATGAATGATGCCATTGCTTGCAATGTGACTGGACATGTGACTGGAAATTTGCTGAGTGTACCGGATTACGAGAAGACGTGGAAGAATGTGGTGAAGATTGAACCGGGAAATCAAACTACGGTGGTGGTTAAGTTTAACCTCATTGACAATGATGCACCTTATCCCTTTGATGCTACTGCACAACCCGGTTATGTCTACCATTGCCATGTAAGTTTAACTTCATTTTCCAAAGAATTCGACTACCAAATAATTTTCTCATATAGGGTGAGAATTATGGTACTGACCTGATATGAAATGATATTGTATCTAGAATTCTCTGACTGAATTCATGTTATGTTTGATTTATTGAAATAAAAGTAGAATATATAAATTATGTTTTTTCGATGATAAGTGATCACTCATTCTATGTCAATGTTTATGCAGATTTTAGATCATGAAGATAACGAGATGATTCGCCCATTGAAGCTTGTTGCTTGACAGATCGTCACATACACGAATGAAGTCTTTTTTCTTTTTTTTTTCCCTCTATATTTATGTGATTTTTGTACTTTTGTTCTTTTATTTTGGGTCAAGTTAATAAGGCATAATGAGTGTGAGCCAAAAGAGTTGTAATCAACTAAGCTGTACTGAAAGGAGACATTGAGTGAGTTGGATATATTCTAAATTTCTGTTATCGTTTTGTAATTATTCAAATAAATTTGTCTATGCTTTTAGGAATCGAAGTCTGAAAGTGCGAAAGGAATCCCATTACATTACATTACATTATTTTATTTGGTTTAGAAGCCAAGTAGAAGATACCATCATTGCTAATCACATTCCTTTTAAATAACTAATATTTAAAAAATAAATAAAATATAATTGTATTTCACATATGTTTTATACATCTTCTTTTTTAATTATTATTCAAATTCATAAACCAAATACAGAAAAAATAAATAAATAAATAAATCAATCACATTCTTATTCTCATTCTCATTTCACTTTAAAATTTCTATCAGTTAAATTCTAAATTTAAGTGCTTAGGTCCTGTTTGTTTACTATATATATAAGGGCCGGATATAAGGGTGGGCCAAATATATGAGGTGAATCCCATATTTTTTTTGTCCCCTTATATCTCGTGTTTGGTTGTTTCAGATATAGAGAATCCAGATAATATATGATGCAAAATGAGAGATATGCAATACCACCCATGTCTCATGGCCCACCATCCGATATGATTCATGTTTCATCCAAAGGTAAAAAATAATCACTCTTCTTTTATTTCATTCACAATATATATAATTCATCTTATATCTTAAAATATATTATATCCCATCATATATCTTTAGGTATTATATATCATACTCAAACCCTTACATCTAATCTGGACAATCAAAAGGACCTCAAAGGCATTGCATTACATTATATTATTTTATTTGGTTTAGAAGCCAAGTAGAAGATACCATCATTGCTCAAGGAATCACATTCCTCTTAAATAACTAATATTTAAAAAATAAATAAAATATAATTGTATTTCACATATGTTTTATACATCTTTTTTAATTATTATTCAAATTCATAAATCAAATACAGAAAAAATAAATAAATAAATAAATCACATTCTTATTCTCATTCTCATTTCACTTTAAAATTTCTATCAGTTAAATTCTAAGTGCTTAGGTCCTGTTTGTTTACTATATATATAAAGGCCGGATATAAGGGTGGGCCAAATATATGAGGTGAATCCCATATTTTTTTTGTCCCCTTAATGGTTAATAATAGGACAATTACAAGTAAATGTGAGTTTTTAAAAATAATTTAAAATTAATGGTAAATTTTATAAAAATTAATAATTAAAATCTGAAATATTTATATGAAATTATTTTGTGAACACAACACTGAATTGTAATCCCCTTAATAATATAAGCGCTTTCTCAATTATATTCAATTACTTTAGTCCTAACTTTAATCCTATTTGTTTCACCTATATATTTTTTTTCTTTTTTAAATGTTTACTCAAATTTATGATTCAAACACAGTTTAAAATAACATATTTGATCTCTCTTAAACTTTATCAGTTTCACTCTAAAAAATGTGATATATTTGTCCAACATTTATAATTGAAAATTTAAAATTTTTGATTTTAAAATTAAAAAAAAAATTATATTCACTAATAATTGAGAAAAATGTCCGTATAACTAACTCTTCACTCTTATCTTAAACTTTCACAGAATTTCTTATTCGCTTTTCTTCTAAAACAATGTTGATGGAAACACGCAGAAATTAGAATCATTATTAAGATTCTTTTTCTTTCTCAATCACACGTTGTCATTTTCTTGATTGTCACTACTTTTGCTAAATATAATGCTTTATTTAAATTATTTGATACGTTGAGGTAGCAGTGTGTACACAATCTCATACAAAATTACGTGGTCCTTTAATTTTATGCCAAATCAACTACTATTTTAATGTATTATTTTTATAATACCAATGTTACATTATGAACAAAAACAAGAAAGTCAGTAAAGAAATTTGGTTGGATTGTGGAATTCCTTAATTTATTTTAATGTATCCACCATGTCACCCATCATTGCCTTTCTCCAATTGCATTAATTTTTTTTTTAAATTATTTGATACGTAAAGGTAGCAGTGTGTACACACTCTCATACAAAGTTACGTGGTGGTCCTTTAATTTTACGCCAAATCAACTAGTACTTTAATGTATTATTTTTATAATACCAATGTTACATCACTATGAACAAAAACAAGAAAGTTAAAGAAATTTGGTTGGATCGTCGAATTCCTTAATTTATTTTAATGTATTCACCATGTCACCCATCATTGCCTTTCTCCAATTGCATATTTTCTAGCCATCGTGACCATTTGATTATAATAGTCTATTTTTCATAATTGACCTATTAGAATTGTCTTTTTTTCTTCTTTTTTTTTTTTAACCGAATGATCACCATAGATTAAGAGAGTGAGTGGACTGGTTAATTGTTTAAATTTGATTTAAAAATTATAATGAGTTTTAAAATTTATTTAAACTTAATTCATTAAATTATCGAGTTGATTTGTCCATTTTTTACCATGGATCACTACCTTCAACAACTCAACAAATATGTTTATCTACTTTTATTTTCAAAATATTTGTATATACCAATTAAGTTTTTTCTTTTATTTTTTATGAAAACATACATAAAGTTGTTTTCTGTATATAAAAAAAAATGACAGCGTTAACAAACAATTCCTTAGAGCATCTCCAACGCTCATTCAAATATTTCATCAAATTTGAATATAAGTTTGATTTGATATGATATGCTTCAATTGTTTCATCAAATATGACTGGTTGTCCGGCTTAGAGTAAATTTTCATCCAAACTTTCTCAATCCGGTTGTCCACCCGGTCGCTCACTGACGGTCTCCTACGAAATTTGATGAAAGGTTAAACTCTCTATTGATTTGATGAAAGTTTTGATTTTGCCTTCATTTAAAATGAAATACGATTGGAGCCCAAAAAGTAAGCACTTCTTTATCAAATTTAAATTTAATGAAATATGTGAGGAAGGATTGGAGATGGTTTTACCTTCAACTATTTGGTCTTAAGGTCCACTTAAATTGCCTATCCAAGATCCGAAATCACAATTTCATTGTCGGCAAAAAATTACCCTTTTTTCACTGTTACTAATAGCCCAATTTTTATGTTTTAAACCCCCAAGAAATTCTACTTATAAAAAGGCCCAATATGATTTTTTTTTTTTTTTTGTGAATAAGTCATAAAACCAAAACAATGAAATTTACATGTTTACGAGGGCATACTCCAGGCACGCCCAACAACAAATAAAAAAAAGGTTACAAAGCTACCACTGCACACCCCCCTAAGAAAAAGGGCGGGTAAATACAAGAACAACCGAAAAACAAAATAACCCAACTTTGTTCATATATCTTTTTTATCTCCAAGTAACCCCTACCATCAGAGATTAGAGATGGAAACTTGAGGTGAATATATAGACAAAGATACAAATAAACACCAGAACGCATAATAAAACACACCAGACGGCCCAATATGATATGAACATAGTTTAAGCCCAAAACTAACTTCTTTCAGCTACCAATGGCTGAAAAAAAAATAATAATAATAAAGTTAATCTTGGGGTCTAAAAAGTCTTCTTTCTAAAAATAAAAATAAAAAAATCAAAGTGGATTACTTCTATCTATTCCAAAGTTCTGTCTTAAATGATGGTTGACTAAATTCCAATTTATACCTGTTTTCCAATTTGGATACAAAGGCAAACCTACTTAATTGGGTGCACTTATAATCATTGTGAATTCAAATGTTTATCCAAACAAAAACTTGGGTCATTCACTCATTCTAATCAAAAACTAAAGTTCTAATCATTTGAATTTGGCTTGTTTCCTTATTTAGAAATATGTATGTAATCCACTCAAATTGATGCAGCCATAAATTTTGTGAATTTAAATTTTAGGATTTAGGTCATTTATCCATTTAAATAATAAATCGCCCATCTATTAAAAGTAAACTAAAATAAAATTTCAAATTTGATGGGTTTATATTCATCAAACCCAAAAATAATCAGGAGAAACCCTTCTTTCTTTCTTTTTTGTTGTTTTTTTGTTCATGAGGATGTTCAGAACCTTGCTCAAACTAATCGTTAGTCACATGTAGCGCACTTGTTCTACATATACTATGTAGCTTAAACTTGGAAATAGATTTAAAGAATATAGAAGAATAAAATTCTTAACATTAATTTGTCTGTTAAAAATTCGAATATAGGACAACCCACATGGTTAACTTCTCTCTTTCTATTTTTTAGACCAAATCATGTGCACTTTTCTGAATATTGTTTTTTTGGATGCATAATATATTTACTCAATATAGGACATTGTCTATTTGAAGCCCTAATTAAAAAACAAAAACAAAAACAAAAATTTAAACTTGGTTTGGTAATATTTCGTTTTCTTTTTTTATTTTGTACTTTTAGAAATTAAAAACGAAAACTTGTTTAGTATGGTGTTTTTGTTTTCAAAAACGAAAATTGATACCAAGATTTTTAATAAATTGTCACATTAAAAATTAACCCAAATAATAAATAAATGAAAACGCTTAACAATATAAAGTAAAGTAATGAAATAAAATGTGCAAAGAGAAGAGAAAACAAATTCAGCGATTTATAGTAGTTCGGCTTAATCCAAGCTTACATCTACTTCCCAAGTATCATCATTAGGAACTATTCTTCAAATAGTAATATACATCACTGGCTTCACGAATACTAGCGAACCTTTACAACAAATGACGACTAATTTAGAATCCACTGCCTAATCACACCTAACAAAGTGATTTTATCCCAAAAATCAATCGCGAAAATAACCCTACTAATTTTGAATCTGGGGCCTAGTCACACCTAATCCAAGTGATTTTATCTCGAAAAATCACTCACAAAAACTCCCTCTTTTACAAGAATAATAAGAAGGGTGTGAAAACCCTTTTACAATTTTTGTTCAAAACTTAAAGAAACACAATACAACTTAAATGTCACAAATATAATCACTTCTCCTCTTCTATTCTCTTCTCTACTCCATTCTTCAACCAAAAAACATCTTATATATATCAAAAATATATTCGTTGGAGGAGGAGAGATGCTCCTCTGCTGGGCTACTCGGATCACGTGGAGACAAAATGCCTAATGCTTCTTTTTTTTGTATTTTTCTTCGAGCAC